AAATGGAGGAATAAGGAGGGGTTGTTTAAAGAATAAGGCTAGATTTGTGTTCTATGAGGGAAAAATCCTGTAGGAAATAGGATTAATTCCTTCTCATGGAATTTCCTCCCAATTTTGCATCAATGTCACCTCAAATGCTAAGAAATTTATTATATTTATAATCACTTTGAATTAATTTTGTGATTCTTTGAGTAGCCAAGTTTTCCTCACACTGAAAGTCATGGGGGAAATGAGCTTCAAATGTGAGTATTTAACATACACCAGAGGCTGTTTGGGTTTTTTATTAGAATTTAGAAAACGTTTAAAATATGGGGGGTTTTCTTCATATGCAAACTGACTAGAGCACAAAATAAAAACTCATGGAAGTCAAACATCCAAAGCACATGCAATTTCTAACACAAAGTATCAAGAATTCATAATAAACTACTCAAGGTGAACCAATATTTGAAAAACACTTACACATTATCAAAAGCATAGAGAAATCCTTGCAGCCTGGAAGATATTCCACAGGTGCTTCTACAACAGCTCACCTGCTATGCAGACATCTACTCTCACCTCACAGGGGGGTGTCCCAGAACCAGCCTTGACATCGAGTCCTTCTTCTGGGCCACCAGAAGGCTCCAGACCCTGGCCATTACAACTTGTTCTGTATATTTTTGCTAACATTAATCAGTTCTGTGCATTTCTTTTTAACCTAATGTTTACACTATTTTTTTGAAGAGCTCAGACTGTGTTACAAGTGAGAGAACAACTGCAGTATATTAAAAATCAGTCAAATGCTACCTATTTTTGAAACGTGTAAAAAACTTCTGTGGCTACTGCAAGTTTGAGAAGTAACAAGGGAAACACAATCATCAATTAAATTAATGTGACAGTTTACTGGTGATGTTCTCAAGGGCTTGTCCTGTACAGTGTTTCTTGGCACATAAAGAGCCATAATATCATAATTTTTTCTGGTCCCTCTTGTACCTCACACACTGCTGGTTGGGCCCACACCTTCCCAGCACCCCTGCAGGCAGCTGTGGTCAGAGCTGCGCTGAAGATGCCCACAGCACAGCCCTGCTGAGCCCAGGCAAGCCAAGGCAGAGCTATACAGGGCTGGCACTCTGTGAAACACCCAGCTATTAAAAACAAACCAGCTTTTCAGCAGCCTTTTCCTTTGTCCCGTTTCAGAAGGCTGGGTTGGGGCAGAGCCACAGCCATGGGGCACAGCCCCTGCGGAAATCTGTGCCTCAGGCAGGGAGGAGAAGAGGAGAATCAGATCCACTCTGGAGAAATGGTAAATGAAAGCACAGTCCAGTGATTGCTGATAACTCTGCTGTCGGGGTGTGTGGCTGCAGAAAATAGCAGGCCTAGTGATTCTTTTTCTGATAGCCTCTAAGCCACGCACTTGAGCAAAGAACCAAATGCTATGGATGACTACAGGCTTCGTGTGATTTATGAGACAGTAACTATCATAGTGGCAGCCATAAGTAAAATTTTTTAAAATAAAAAATAAAATACACAAGTGTTTGTCAATTTAGGCATTTTACCATTGTCTCTACATCAGAGCAGAAATGTGTAAACTAACTAATTTTTAATCAAATTCAAAATTGATTGCTTTCCCTTTAACCTTGCGCACTTGCTAATTTTATTCTGAGCTCTTGTACATTCCCTTCCCTGGAAAGATTTCTCTTGCAGATAAATTAATGTAATCAGTTAGATAATTTATATGTTTCAGGTGCAACTTGTTTTTGAATAAAAAATAATTAAATTACTTTTTTGGGGGAAGTCAAGGGCTGCTTATTCACTTGGGAATTATGGTAAAAAATTTTGAACAAACATTTTTATCATTGTCAAAACAAGTTTCATTTTCATTATACTAAGTTATCTTGAAACCAATATTTGGTATAACACTTGAGTGACTTGCTTATTGTTACTTAGATAGCCCAGTGATAGGCACCATAGAAAGAACAAAAATAGGTAGTAGATTAAACTATAAGTGGCAAACATTCTCAGTCTCCTCCTCCTTTACTATGAATACAACTGAAAATCTTCACATTGGTGGTAATCTCTTAATGGGCTTGAGCTCTTTATCTCGGCTATGAATTAATTATTGATTTTTCAACTGCAAATACAAACCTGCCTTGCAGACACTTGTGGCTACAGAAAGAGTGCTCATCTGATGTGAATCAGTGGACAGAGGAATATTGTGCGTCAGCAACCGATCCTTAAAATAAATAAAATATCACTTAAATATTGTAAAAACAACAAACAAAAACCCATTTGATTTTTAGTGTTGCAAATGGAACGCTGTGCCAACTTTGCTCTGCATAACAAGTCTCAGAAAGCTCTCCTGGGAATGTTTATATTGTGTTTCTATCCAGACTTCATATTTGCTTTGAATTGTGACAACAGTTTGACCGTTTTCATGTTAAAAGTTTCCTGCCTTTGTCATGAAAGGCGCTTTTCATCAATATAGACAAGAGTCATAACAGGAACTCAGGGATACTGCTGCAAACTTCATGAGCACCTGGCTGGAAGTGCTTGAGCCCCAGCACCACCCCTACACTCCCCCTCAGTCCAGGTCTTCAGCCGGTGGCAGGGCCCTAAATGCCCTGAGAGAAAGCAGAGGGCACCCAGACCCAGCCCTGGGAGGGGCAAGGGGCAGGAGGCACCACGGGTGGAAGGACAAAGAGCTTGGAGCAGGAATCTGAGTGTAAAGGATGGCAGAGAAAGGGCTCTGCTAAAATCCTCTTGGGGATGTGTGTCCCACACCCCGTTTTGGTCAGCATTTGTAGTGATGAAGGTGGTTCTTTCAAATACCGTCTGACAGAGGATTTCAGAATGGGCTGTAACTGTCCTGCTAATCTCAACTGCCCATGTCAGAGCCACTGAGAATGCCACAGAAATGCTGATAACACTAAGCTAGCTATGCTATCTGTTACAAAAGATAGGTATGCGTTTAAAAATTTGGGGGAAAATGTTGTTAGTTTTCTGTTCTAGTATGACAGAATAAGAACTTGGAAATGAAGAACTCACACACATACTTGCATTCGAGTTTGTATTTTGATTTTTTACATTAAACATTGCAGAGCAGTTTGTTGTTTCCACACATGTGCCCCAAGTCAAGTAAACTGTTAATGTCCCAGTATCTTGAAATATACTGACTTCCCCTTATGAAAAATTCCACTTGAAAGATAAGACCATGCACAAAATTGAAATAACAGTGATCAGGCAGAAGTCACAGTGTCTGACTAGAAGAATTACTTACCTCAAAATTCCATTGCAATGAAGAGAAATCAGAAAGTATGATTGGCCTTTTAGGTTGTTTTAGTTGAGTAACGAACAGACTGAACTTCCTTTTTTTTTCAAAGTGTAGTCAAATAGTGATTATGCAAAGTGTACAATTCTAAACAGCTAATTAAGCAGCAAACCCAAATTTTTACAGCTGAATAAGCTGCTTTAAATAAGAGGAAAAAAAGAAGAAAAAAAAGCCAGAAAACCTGTGTCTTGTGTACAAATTTAAAAAAATCAACAGCTTCTCTAGCAATTAATCTCTTCACACAGTTTTATCTGTACAAAACCCAATGACCTACAGGATTCAGTATATTTTCCTGTCAGAGAACTTTCTGTCTGAAGCTCCCAGGGGAGAGACAGTGTTTCCTAATCAAGAAAGTAAACCATCAAGAAGCTAAAATAATAATGCAAACTACTGTGACACAACTCAGCTTTCCAGTATCTTTGCTCAGGACTAAAACCTAATTACGTCACGCTGAAGAAACGAGAGCATCTCAAATTTTCCAAAGGTCATTTTAACATGACCTATGATTTGTGTTATTTTCTTTCCATCATATACATACAGAAAAAAGAACAAAATATAGACATAAGTTTGAATAATATTCACATACTTTGGGAAACATGGCAGGATCTTCTAATAACTACATAGTAAAAGACAGTCTTGAACAATTTCATTGAAGTAGACTTGACTTCTAGGACCATGTAATTCCACTGGGTTTAAAGAACTATTCAGCACAGTGAAAAACCATACTCCAAAACTGATGTATTTGTCTATGCTTCCTACACAGTGACCTTGAAAATGTTATCATAGATTTACTCTGGCAAAGCCAAGAGCAGTGGCAGGGTTTGTTTCCAGTGCCTACTTGAAAAGTCCTGAGATTCTCTGGACATTGATCAGTCGAGTGTAATTTCTTTAAACTTCAGCAAAAAGCTACAACTGTCATCCTGTAGTACTTTTTTTGAAACCTAAAGAGAACCTGAAGTGAATCAATTCTCAGTCAAGCACCACATTAGTCCGTCACAGAAGGTTAGCCCCTCAACGGTGTAATTTAATGCCTTTAGCTGCTCATTATGCACACTAATGGACGCACAGCTATGAGAAAACAGCCATCGCTGCCCAGCACCCGTTTTAGCAGGAATAGCATTCGCAGTAATTTCTTTTTAATCACATGTGGACTGTTTCCAGCTACCATTATCGTAGGCAGATGTGTTCAGAGCTAGTAAGCTTCACAGGAACAGGCACCAAAAACTCTTACTACTCACTCTTATTAACCTCTTGTCTGGATTAGGACCCTTAGTTATTAAACCTATTTTATCAATTTAATTTTCAGAAACCTCCCAGCATTTGTTTAAACCTTTTCTTCACATTTACATTTGTTTAACAGTGCACTACTTTATGATGCAAGTCATAAAGATTGCCATTAAGATATATACACTTACAAAAAATACTTCTTCAATTAAAAAAAAAAAGAATAAAAGAAAAAAAGATAACACTTTTCCCATCTTTTATTATAGAAATGCCACTTTGGATAATGGGCACTATTGCTAGATCTTTACCTTAGCAGCCAGGAATGCTGATTCGAGTACTTTGCTTATATTATCCTGTTATCTGGGAATGGGGTCTTCAACAGTACAGAAAACTATGTGAGACATTCTTGATACTCTATTTAACTTACTTTACTATGTCTCCAAGGTGTTAAGTGAAGTCTGTCACTGTCCCAGAAAAGTTCCTTAACTCTTGTGGCTTTCACAAACTTATATAACCCATTTATCTTCCAATTCACCTGGGGATTACAGAAAACCTCAGCTGAGTCGCAGCTTTTAATGAGCTTAGCCGGAGCACAGGGCTGAGATACGGAGATTGCTCCTCCTCTGCAAGGCCATAGCTCAGACCGGGGTACAAAGACGGCAGTGTCAGAGCACAAGCCAGACCTGCTTCCCTTCTGCCTCTAGCCACACCGCCAGGAAAAGGCTCACTATGCCATTTGTGTGTATCATTGTTTCCTAAACGCGGAGGATCACTGAATTTCAGCTAACCCACAACATCAATTTTCACCTGTGCTGAAGGTTAAGATGCACGGTTGTGAGGTTAAGTGCCTCAAAGGGCTGGCTCAGGTTAACTATCATTACCTGGAGAAGCTTTGCTGAGAATTAGATTTCCCAGCAAGTTTTAGCTAACCTGAATGCCTGCTGTGACTGAAGATGCAGCTCTGTACTTGCTCAGATGAGAGATCTTAGTGTGCCTCTTCTGAGTATGAGCAGTCAGGAAACTATGCAGCCAGTTAGCTCAGGGAACTTCTGCTGAAAATTAACCTGAAAAATACAAATACAGTGGTTAGTTTTCACTAGCGTGAGTCTTCACAAAGCGTGTGGGAACAATGACTGGGGAGAAAAGGGCCAGAACAACTACTTTGGCTGCAACTTCTTAAAGGAATGGTGGGACCATCAGGAAGGGACTGAGACCTGTGCCCGGGCTTAGTGGGAGCTCTTTGCCATGACTTAAAACTGGGTTGTTTTGAAATAGTGTTTGCTGCATGTTTCTACGCTGCCTCCTGCTGAGGATGCTAAAGAGCTCAGCAAAGCTCACAAACAGCTCCTTGGTAGGTATTATCGCTCCTGTTTTACAGGAGTGAGCATGTGGACAGACTTTGGATCATTTGCCTGAAGCAAAAAGCAAGTTAGTGGAAGGGAGACAGAAAAACAAAGCCACTGATCCTTGATTCCCACCACTATGTTAATTAATAAATCGATTGTGACTAACATGCAGAACATTAAGAAATGCCCCCTGAGCATTTACCATCAGGTTAGGCAAATGAGCAGCTGTGTGGCCACACCAGTGCTTGCTCTGCTGCACAGGCAGGGAGGGCCGAGCACACAGCACCAGCCCCCGTGGGGCTCCGCACCCTCCTCCAGGTCTGGGGAGAGCAAACGAGGGGAGGCAACCCAGGAAAGGCACCAGGTACCATTCACATGTGGGTGCAACCCCAGCAGATCCTGACATCAGGGTCACATCTCGAGGGTGCAGGGTGTTGGCAGGTCTCAGCCTTGTGGTTGAGACCCCATGGTGAAGTTCTGCACCCTGCACTGAGTACAGGGGGAGCCACAGTTTTGTCATCCCTGACAAGTCAAGAGGAGTGTGCACAGCCTGTGTGGCTGTTGTCAAGCTACACCACTCCCAGCTGGGAAAGCAACTACAACTGTAATGCTATTGAAGGAGGAGGAAGTATTTTATTTCATTGCCTTTTACAAACCTACATTATGAAAGGGTACAAAAATCTTTGCCATTGCTTTAAAGCCCGTATGAAGCCTTGCAAAAATATATATTGCAACAGAGAAAGCAATACTTTACTGCTTTAATAGAGTGGTAAAAATCAGATTAACACCCACTTTATCATAGTTTCTGACCCTGCACTTCTGCCTTTCCTTCACACCGCTTTGTATGGACATGAAGGATGGCCCACACTGTAGGGTAATGGATATTCAGATCTCACCTGTTCAAAAGGGAGTTGCTAGTTGGCTGTTAAGTATTTTTATCTTGTGGTTTTACAGCCTCCCCTGCAACAAGCAAACAAGACGCTTCTGCCCCTGAAAGGTTGCAGAGTTAGCATGGCCCTTTGAGGTGGCACCAGAGAGGTAACAAGAGCTGATGTGCACAAAGCATGTGTCCACCAAGTAAGATTTGGTGTGTACTGACTCATTTTCACCTATTTAAAGTATTAATAGTGGTGTAAGTATTTTTTTATTTTTGCAGAAATCATCTTAACATCCTAATGTACAAAATACTGTTTTCATCTCAAAAATTTTCAGCTGAGGACCCATTTATAACATATGCTTAATTAAAAAAAAATCCTAATTCTTCTTTCAGCTAGTTTCAAATATGCTGTATTTCACTCATCCAGACTTTGGGCAATGTCTACTGTTCATTTTTGAAAAAATATCACACACAAAAAAGACTTGGGCAGAACTGAGGCAACTTATATGTGTGTAATGAAGCTCCTTCCCCTAACAGGGCAGATTTAATCCCCTGGCACTGACCCTTTGCTGTGTATATGAGCAGACAGGCCTTTTCCAATCTGACCACCGTTGCCCATCTCAACACATCTTAGATATCTTTTGTCACAAGTTTTCTATCTGATGCCACAGGAGGGCTTTTTTTACTCCTCAAAAGCCTTTCTAACCACTAATAGAAATGCTGGTTTATTGACACAGAAAATCAACTCATCAGAATCAGGTATTTCTGTGAGGACCTTGCAGCAGTGATGGCAGCCACAGGGATGGGGACATGCCACACAGCAAACCTGGGGGCTGCAGTGACACATTGCTTCAGGGTGTCTCTCTGTCCAGCTCATTCACAGGGGCTCACATGTCTCTGCAGTTCTTGTTCTGCTTTGGCAGAAGCCCAGGCGTGGGAGCAGTGACAAGATTGGGACAGAAGGTCTTTGGAGGAGAAAGGTAACCTGTGTCCTGGCAGTTCAGTTCTTCATCACTTCCCAGACTCCAGGGGAACACCAGTCTGGAGATCTTAATCAAGGAAGCATCTGGATGTCCAATTTTACTGCCTTTCCCAGCTAGCTAGCATGCCAAGGGCTTCCTTTCAGTTCCTACACCAGGATGTGCATGAAACTGACCCGTGACATTTAGACAAAATGAAGTCATAAAAGGGAGCACAGCAATGTCTGAAACCATTCCCTGGACATGGATTGCCATTGAAAGTGATGTGCATTATGAGAGCTTTCCCAGACAGGAACAGGAAAATGTAGGCCAACATCTCATCAGGGCCACAGGGTTTAGCAGCTCCTCTTTCTTTAAGTTTCCCACTGCATAATATCCCAGGCACAGACAGTAGCAAACATTGAGAGATGAGTGACAATAATAAATAACCTGTATTAATGATGGAATTTTATAAAATAAAATAAACAATCTAAGAGTAATAATTCCCTATGTCATTTTATCATCTGAACTTTCTGGAGTTGGTTGAATTGGCATTTAAAAGATATTTGCTCCTGCTTGCTTTGAGATGCAGCTGCATGACTTCAGAATAAACAACATAGAAACAGTGCAGGAACTTTGAGCTTCCACTACCATGACCAAGAGCAGAGCATAACCCAGTGAAGGACATCCTGAGGCCAGACTTGGGAAATGCTGAGAAGATCCAACACAACCAAACCCTTTCAGGCAGGAGTACCACACTATAAACAATATATTAAAGGCAACTTCCTAAAACCTTTCCTGGAAAGAAATTTATGTCATAGTTAAAGGCATTTCCCAAACATTTTCATCTTTGTTCTTTCAATCTTTGATAGTGTGGGAAGGAAATCAGACAGCTTGTGGATATTGCTGCTACCCTTCAATTCTACTGATAATAGTTGTGGAAACATACACATAAGAATAACTTCCTGAATGAAACAATATTTAGCGCATATAGAAGCCTTTGTTCTTGCTGCCCAGAGAATATATAGTTATACACAATTATAGTGAGTTTTACATGACCACTAGGATGTGTGAATGCTCTCTTTGAAAAAAGAAAAGCAGCAAAATCAGGTGGGTTTTTCCACTCAGAAGGGACAAACAAGCTCCATTTTTCTTAAGCCAGTTTTATCATAACAGGAAGTATTGCTCATTTTAAAATTGATTCTGAATTCTCTTACAAAAAAACTATGATGAACAGTGGACAGAGCTTTTCCCTTTTATTTTAATACCTTGAACAGATTATTCAAAAGAAGCAGCCAATGTGGCACCTGCTGAAACACATTCAGTCACAGGACTGAAGACATAGGGGTTTGATAATCCTGCCCTTACAATTAAAGAGAATCTACATTTTTTATTTTTTTTTTTTTGAGTCAGGCATAAAAAGAGAGAAATTTATGACAAATATACCTGTCACAGCCAGATAATAAAAAATACTAAGCAGTTAAGTTTTCCCCTGTGTTTAGACTTTCTAATTTTGTAAGACAGTAATAACTGGGGAATATAAAAATGGCCATGTTGGGTCAGACCAAAACACAGAAGCAAATATCCTCCAGCAGTTATGACTGTGCTGGGTAATTAAAAACAAAACAATGGAAGAAAAATAAATCTAAACAAAACAGAGCAAGGTGCAATAACTTCTTACAACTGTATACACTTACCTACTTATTTCATCAGAAATGCTGAAGGACAAGAACCCAAGCACTAGTCCTCAGAGAAGGTCTCCAGAAGGAAAGCAAGGGAGCAAATTGGACCAGAAGAAGTAAATTAAAACAAAAGAGACAACAGGTGTTCCTTGTTTTCATTTGTGGCAGGTGAATAGTAGGATTGTCATTTCCTGAAACAAAACTCAGCTCCCATAAGAAATCCTGGGGGGTGTAACTTTATTAAGCTTAGCTTTTCCCTCCTCTACACTGAAACAAGAAGAGATTATTATATGCTCATGTCTCACCTGTACTGTATATTCAGCAATTTTATTTTCCAGGCTACATGATTTTGACCCCAGCCATGTTGATGTGAAGTGTTGTCTTTAATGCCTCTTTAATTTCAAATCAATACAAAATTCTGATGTTACATAATGGGTTAAAACGCACATAATTTTCCCATTCCAAGCCAGTATCTACCACAGTTATCCAACACATCTCAACAGGATGACTTGAATCTGACATTGAATGGGAACAAAACATGTTTATTCCTTTTTCCAAATTTTAGTGTGTATATATATATATATATAAAAACACACACTATATGTGTATACTATATGTGTATATATATATATATATACACACTATGTGTGTGTGTGTGGTATTTAAGCCCCTTTTTTTATTCCTTTAGAAGAACATTTATTTGTTTTAAAGAGGGATTTTATTCACTTTACTTCTGCTCTGACTGCCAAAGTTAGGAGAAACCTTAGGTTTCTTGCATCAGACATGACAAATTTCAAGTACAAAGATTCTAATTTCCCTCACTCTGTACACCTGGTATAGTTATTCACCCTAATCCTGTGTCTGAATTAATTGCATCTGATATTTATAAAATTAAATACATCAGAAATTAGACCTGCAGATTTAAATCTACACTTTTTGAGGTACTTTATGCCATATCAGAGAACCATCATAGACTTCACCATGTAACAAAACCAATGTTTTATTTCATTTATTTCAGCCTAAGATGGCAAGTACATAATCATACCTGTTTGTCCATCCTGCCAGTTGCCTGGGTGAACAGTAAGCATTTAAAAGATTGAGACATGTGAGGAACAGTGTCTCTCAGTGTTTAATTAGAGAACCAAAGTAAAAATAACCCTTGTGCATTAAACACGTTGGCTTTAAAGTTTGAACAAACCTAAGTGACTTTTAAATTGAAGTCTGTAAAACATCCTAATGACTGGTCCTTTATTCTTTCTGAGTATACTTGAGATTACAACCTTTATCTATACTTACAATTTTATTCTAAATCTTAACCTAAGAATGTCTCTTCCTTTGGTTTCCTGACTGGAAGACTGAGCTGTGTTATTATCAGAGTGAGACATTGCTGACAGTCAAATTTTCAGGAGGAGGCCAGCATGGCTTTGTCCACCACAGAGGCAGGAGGGATTTTATTCAGAAAGTCAGTGGAGGCAGTTAGGCTAAAACCAAATACTTTTGAAAATCTCATCCTAGTAAGGCTATTTCATCCTCTGTTTTGCTCTATTAGGTGAGTACACAGAGTTTTGGGGTTCAGTACTCCACCTGCCCCACCTAAATGGTGGTTACATAAATAATACATTGGCCAGCCACCATGCTGGCCCATCAGCCAACGAGTATGGCACCAGCAGCTGGGGTCGTGTGGGAAAACAAAGGAGACAAGAAGTGAAAAAAGAAATTGTGTGAGTTCTTCCTGCCCTCGGTTTGTGTCTTTTTTTTTTTTTTTTTTTTTTTTTTTTTGGTGACTCCACCCACATCATCGCCCCATTAAACTGTGGCCAGGGCAACCCTGAGAACTGTGCATGTGAACAGGAGCATCTTCAGCACATTAGAGGACTTCAAAGCATAACATTCACCATTTCCAGTAACAAAGTTAAAACTGTGAGTTGTCCTGTTCCAGAAAAGTCAGAAAATTGAGAAAAGCGTATTTGTTTTACACATCACATAGGTTCTTATTTTCATTATGATACTTTTAGTCTCTAGCTTCACATTTTCTAATTTCTCTTTGACAGTGTTACAGGGTCTTTGCACTTCTCTTTTTTTTCTTTTTTTCTTCTTTTTTTTTTTATTTTTTAAATTAAAGACCAGGTTATCACACAACAGCAAGAAACAAGACTGAAAATGAACTCTAAAGCCTGGTGCAACAAAAGTGCACTGTGAAGAGCTGGCGACACCTCTGTTGTGTGACCCTGGGCAAGCCTGTGCCTTTTTGCTCCCTTTCTGCTGAGTAAATAGATGCCAGAGGGGCAGCTCTCTGTGTACCAAGCTCACATGTGAAAGCTGCTGAGACAGTGAGATCACAGAGACCTTTGCTTTGGTGTCATCATCCTGGAAAGACAGAAGTACTGAATCAAAGGCATCAGGTCTTTCATGTGAATAAAGTGCTGATCCCACAAGCTCTGAGGCCTCTGCTGACTGGCACTGCTGAGCACAGAAGAGCTGCCTTTCCACCAGGTCAGCAAACAAAAGGTGCTGTTCCAGTGGTCCCAGAGGCTGATGCCACCTCTGCAGGTTCCCATGAGAATGTCAATCTCCACACTAGCACAAGTGCTGACCTCAACCCACCACACAGATAATTTTGTCTTGATGATGACCCAGAAACATATGTTATATTAGAGAATTTGTAGCTCCAGTTGTTGGGCCTGGAGCACAGGAGGAAAGCACCTACCTGGGCTTGCCAAACACCTATCACGTGAGTTGGTGTTCGTAGCAGGGAAGCTCTTTATCACTTTTAGCTACACAAATAACTCCATTTCCTAGCTGGAGGAGGATTCCTGGCCCTCAGACCATCTCTGCCCTTCCTCCTAGGCCCTGCAGGGAGGACAGGCTCTCTGACAGCCCCCAAATGCTGCCACAGCATCCAGCAAAGGCAGAGCCACTGTGCCCCTGGGGACAGTGCAGAGGGCGGAAGGGTGAGCCCAGGGAAGGAAGGAGTGGGTGGACTCCAAGTATGCACAAATATGCATGACTCTCCTCCCACCTTCTAGTGGGTCTTACTGGAGAAATTGTTTTAATTCCCCATCTTCTGCCCTTTCCAGAGCAGAGGGAGAAACTAAAGCCCTGTGGCCCAATTGCCAGTGGTCGCAGGGGAGGATTGTCGCGCCCTTGGGCTGGTCATGGCTGAACACCATCAGCAAGGACAGGACTGGCCAGCAACAGAGATAAGTGGCACCTGAACTTCTTGAAACTGGTTGTGTCCTCAGATTTCAGACATCTTCACAGAGTATAAGCTGTCAGTGCTGGAACTACCTTTCCTTCTATTTTGGTGGGGGGAATATTAATTTATGCCCGTAAATTGAAAAGCACCATTTTCAACATCCTGAGTAGCTGACTCCACATACTTTCCTTACCAAAATCCAGCCACCAAAGGTAAATGCTCATTTAGCTCTTGCAGATGCTGACATTGGCTTCAATGGGATCAATCAGGAAAAAAAAAAAAGAAAGAAAATGGGCAGGATGAGTTGTACTCTTTACAATCAGTGACTTGACTGTCCTTGCACTTCTGGAGACAGGACAAAGTTCAGACTTGATCTGAAATTCTGCAACTCATTTTGTTTAGATAATTGTAAAAATATGCCAGTCTTCCTAAACAGACACACGTGTCATATTTCTAATGGTATTACTACACCGGACACAGAGGCTGTTGTGCAACTCTCTCACTAATTATCCAAGGGGGCTTCAGCCAGTCCTGCAGGAAGCCATTCCCAGCCAGTGCAGGTGAGGGACCAAGCACTGCTTGTTTGAGTAGCCCTTCTTGCTGGTGTCACACTTGTCCTTTGATTATTATTTTACTGATTTTGATAGGACTAGTAAAGCTCTAATTCTGTGAGCAGAGCCTGATGAAATGGAATATAGCAGGGGAGAAACAGAGCTCCCTGTCTCATTTTTAACTTCTCAGGCTGTCTCAGCTGTCCCAGCAGTGCTGCAGCCCACACAGCATCCACTTCTAAACCCAAAAAAGATAGAGGTGGATTAGAAATAAGTATTAAATAGTTCTGCTGCATTTATAACAAGATATTCCCAATGCAAGTCTTTTGAGCACAAGGTACCTGGCACTGGCATGTCCACATCATATTTTAGAGCTGAGGTGCAGGGTAATATGTTGTCCATTCTGACAGCCCTGCCTGGATAAAAGCACACACCTCGAGGGGGTTTTAGAGCTAGAGAATTCTCTAGAATCATCTTGTCTGGTCACCAGGGACCATATAATTTGGTCCATTTCAGTTTTGCTATTTTCTGTGGAAAACCTTTTTTCTTACTACCAGTGCATAAAGGAAACTTTTTTAAAATGCCCAAGCAAGAGGAAAAGAGGTCCTATGAAGAAGAAACTAAAAATAAGAGAAGAAATGGAAATTCAGTGGTAGTTTTAACTCCAGTTTCAGCTACATTGACAGAAAGAATGCAATATTTAGATAGCTTTTGGCCACCTAGTCAATTTAAACTATTTTTGTACCATTAAAACGTGATTTATAGTCTAGAACTTATCTACTGCAATAGAGCCAAGTGAACTTTAGAGATCAACCTGTTATAAAATTATCAAAACCAAAGGTTTTAGGCAAAAGACAACTGATCCCTCTCCATAGCAGCACAAGTGCTACAAGAGGCAGCTGTAATGGCATAAATGGACATTTTATCAGCTTTCTGTCAGGGACTGACAAAATCATGTCAAATGAGGCATTAAAGCTCTAGTTTTGAAAAGTGTGATAAATACCAGCTAATCTACTGACATAATATATAGTGAGTCAAATATTTAGTTTTGCATTAAATCTAAATCCAACATTAGAGCATTTCCTCTTGATTAAAAAGGATAAAATGTAGATGTTATTTTATGCTTCAGTTCCCACATGTAATTAATGCTCAACATTCAGAGCTCTTTCTTACATTATAAATGTGTTAGTAAACATGTCAGGGAAAGAGGGGAGGCACAAAGGAAACAAGTGCAAAATCTATATGCTTAATTCATATTCCTCCATTTGCAGTGGCTAATATGTTATTGCAGAGACTATTTGCAGACACTTGCCCTGCCAGTGAGCAGCTA